TGCTGCTGCTGCCGCCGAAGCGCGGCAAAGTGGGCAAGCAGCTGGGCCGCAACCGCATCGTGTGCCGCGTGGTGGAGATCAAGCGGCCCTTTGGCGTGACCATGTACCGGCTGCGGAGCGGAGCTGGAGTGGTGGAGGGTATGCATCAGGCCAGCAGGCTATCTAAGGCGCCACCCAGCCTGAGCCAGCGAGCTGACCTTCAGCGGCACGGCGCAGCGAGGAGTGCCTGTGGTGTCTCTCAATGTGGCGATGGCGGCGCAGCCCGGCGGCGGCAAGGCAGCCGTGCGCTGCGGCTGCCGCGGCGCCTGCACCCGGAACTGCAGCTGCAAGAAGAATGGTGCGCGGTGTGGGCGGCACTGTGGCTGTATAACCGGTAAGGGTGGCAATTGCAAGAACCATTGAAAAAGTGTGCCTTGTACGCTTTGCCGTCTCCGCTGGAAGGTGCTGCCGCCTGTGGCGGCTTCATATTTCCTGTTCATTTCTGTTGTTCGGTCTCTCTGTTCGTGTTGGTTGGCTTGTAAGAGTTGTATTTCTGACGCTAGAGAGGTGAGATGACAGCGGGAGCGTTGAAGCGTGCATGCCATCACGTGTGCAAGCAGCCCCGCTCCGCCCCGCTCAACCCTCAAACAGGGCTATATGGGGTCAGTTCACGTATGGGAGGGGAGCGCCGCGCGGGCTGCCAGGAGGGAGCGGGGGCGGGGGTTGCCCAATCGGGAGGGTGCCACATCAGGGGGCAACACATGGGCCACCTGGCTGGGGAGCTGGATATCACCTCCCTAGAGGTTTGCGGGTTTGCCTGGTTGCTGGCGATCCATGGCACGGATCTGCCATGCTTGTGGGGCCCACCTGCTAGCCAACCGCGTCTGTTGACCAGGTGCCGCCCGCTGCAGCACCCCCGGGCCCCTCGGCCTCCTGTTTTCGGCTGCCTGCGATCTACCAGCCACGATGCGCAACGACAAGCTCAGCGTCAGCGCCCAGCAGAATGCCCAGCACAAGGCCATCCTCTCGGCCCTCCTCAAACAGGAGGACAACAGGCGCTGTGCAGACTGCGGGTCGCGGGGTCCCACCTGGGCCAGCGTGAACTTGGGCGTCTTTGTCTGCCTCAACTGCTCAGGTGCGCCGGCAGGCGGCGGCGGGCGGGAGGAGCCGTGGCGGCAACTGCTGGGCCCTGGTGCTGGGTTTTGCCATCGTGTGCTGCGGACAACAGCCCCACATTCGTGCGTCGCTGCCCCCTCAGCTGTGTGCCGCCAGCCCATTGATGTGCGCCCTGCTGCCGCCCTCGCCGTGCAGGCGTGCACCGCAGCCTGGGCGTGCACGTGTCCAAAGTCCGCAGCTGCAACCTGGTGAGCTGGCGGGCTGGCCACCGCAGTGCGGCATGCCGTTCTGCTGCTGGGCTGCGCCGATATCGGGCCAAGGCATCGGTCGCCACCCTCCGCCTCTTGCCAGCAACTCGACCGCTTTGGTGTCCAACCCACCGCCTCCATCTCTCCCACCTCCCACCTCTCGTGCAGGACACATGGCTGCCGGAGCAGGTGGCATTTGTGTCGGCCATGGGCAACGCACGGGCCGCCGTATACTGGGAGGCCAACCTGCCGCCCGACTTCCGGCGCCCGCCGGAGAACGACATGTCGCTGCTGCGCACCTTCATCACGGACAAGTGAGCGGGGACCAGCAGAGTGGCCGGATGCGGAAGAGCGTGCAACAGCATGTATAACCTTCTGCATCTGCTCCTTGGCTGCCGCCCTGGCCTGCCTGCCAGGTGCCGCGTCGCAGCGCGCTCCTGCCGCATCACGTCATGTGCTGAGCTGCTGCCGGCCCCGCTTGCCTGGTGCAGGTATGTGTCGCGGCGCTATGCGACCCGTGAGTTTCCCGACCCGCCCAGCATCGAAAATTACAGCACGCACCCGGTAGGCTGCTAAGCTTGGTTGGCCGGTGGCCGGCCCACCTCTCAGCCCTGCCGGTGGTGGATGCCTTTTGTTGCCAGCCGGTGCTGCCTCCAGCAGGAATGGGTTGCTGCGAGGGGTTGTGACGTGGATGTGGCCTCTTGCCTCGCTGCGAGTGCAGTTCATGGCGCGCTTTGCGGCAGGTGGCGGCGCGCAGCATGAGCAGCAGCCCACTGCGGCTGAGGCAGATGGCACCGGCGCAGCCAGGCATCGCCTGGCCTCGGCAGCAGCGGTTAGCGTGCCTGCAGCCCCTGCCGTGCCCAAGCAGGAGCAACCAGTGGCACCTAGCTTCGACCTGCTCAGTTTGTATGACCCCCAGCCTGCAGCGGCAGCAGTGGTGGCATCCTCAGCACCCGCGGCAGCAGCAGCGGCCGCTGCACCCCCAGCGGCCGCGCCGGCCTGGGATCCCTTTGCTCAAGGCGCCGCGCCCGCACCTGCCGCTGCACCAGCACCTGCCCCAGCCGCAGCCTGGGACCCGTTTCTGCAGAGCGCTCCCGCCCAGCCGTCGGCACCTGCCGCTGTGCCGCCACCAGCACCCGGCCCTGCAGCCCCTGATGTTGCGCCTGCTGCAGCTGCTGCCACCGGCTCCTGGGATCCCTTTGGCAGCAGCGCTGCGAGCAGCACGCCGGCGCCGGCCCCGCAGCCAGCGCCTCCCGGCGGTGCAGACATCTTTGACCCCTTTGGCGTGCAGCAGCAGCCGCAGGCAAACGGAGAATCGCACTCGCAGGCCAGCGGCGGCAGCGGCCTTGCAGACCCTTTTGCTCCCAACAGCGCTGCAGCGCCGTCCGTTGCGTCTATGGCGCCAGCTCCAGCTCCCGCGGCCGCACCTCCCTCGAGCGGCATGGCTGGTATGGCTGGCGGCAGCAGCAGTGGTAGCCTGGGGGCCGCTGCCGGCAGCCAGAAGCCCGCCATGTCGCATGACAACATCATGGCCCTGTTTGATTGGCCGTCGCACGGCCGCAGCATGAGCGGCAGCCAGTTTGCTGTGCCGGGGCCAGGGCCGCCACCCGTGCCGGCCAACCCGCACATGCATGGGGTGGCCAGCGCCCCGGTGCTGCACTCCCCCTTCCCGCAGCAGCAGCAGCCCGGCGGGCAGGCGTTCATGGCCGCCCCGCAGCCACGCCAGCAGCCGGTCATGCCGGCGCCGCAGCCGCAGCCGTTGCCTGGAGGCCAGCACCTGTTTGGCAGCTTTGGGCCCAAGCCGGCGCAGCCTGCGCCCGTCCCTATGAATTCTATTCCGCCGCCCCAGCAGGTGCCGGCAGCCCCAGCAGCTCAGCAGCAGGGCATGGCCGCCTTTGCCGCCCTGCTGTAGCTTGCCCGCATGCTGCGGCATCGTCGCTTTATACTCCCTTGCCTTGTTTCCCTGCCCCATGCCTGCCGTGCTCGTGTTGTATCGTGAACTCTTCAGTTAAGAATGTTAGCAGTTCGACATAGGTGCCCATCGATGATAGTGCAGGCCGGTCAAGGTTTGGAGCAAAACTCGGAACTTTGCAGCTGGCTGTGCGAAATGTTGGCAGTAGCAGGCTGATGGCAATCGGCACAACAGCCACCAGGCAGCCCAGGGGTGCGCAAGTATGTATGTGGGTGGCCGAGCGGCGAAAGAATGGTGGGGAGGGCAGGCTGGGTACAGGGCTGCCCGCAGGGTACAGGGTGCACAGAGCGGGAAAATCGCAGTCGCAAGCGCAGTGCGTGCCGAGGGGATGATGTCAAGCAGAGGAAGGAGGCGACAGGGGCCGCACACTCCACCGCCACACCCTCGTGCGGTAGGAGCGTGGCAGACCCGCACTCAGTCGTCGCAGCCGGCAGCAGAGTCATCCACCTCCTCGATGTTCACCTTGCGCAGCCTGCCCTTGCCCTGCCCCTGCGCCTCGCCCTCCGCCTCTACTCCTGCGGGGACAAGGCGTGGAATGCAGAGAGGCACCGTTAGCTGTGCAGCAGGGACAGATCCTTGCCTCTGTGCGATGTCGCCCGATCCCTGTTCACAGTCCAGCCCCGCAGCCTCAACAGCCACCCACCCACCTGCTGCGCTGCTGTCTGGGGTGGCCGACAGGCTCTTGAGAAGCGTCTCCTGCATGAGCACAGAGTTCTCCTCCGGCACCGACTGCAGCTCCTCTATCCACTCCTTGGCAATCTGGTGCCTGCACAGGGGCGCAGTGCGGCGCCGTGGCCGGGCAGTGTGAGGGCACGCTTGCACTCTCACTCAGAGGAAGAGCGGGGGTGTCGCGTCTCACCATAGTTGTAGTCCCTCCCCAGCCACCCACCACCCCTCATCAGAGTGGCCATTGCTACGCTCGCGGCCCCAACCCCAGCACACCCGCCCCCCAACCCCACCTCAGGTCCATGATTCGCTGCGCGGTCTGCCGCGGGTCGCCGCCCACGGGCGAGGCGTTGGCAAACTGCGGCTCCTCGTCCGAGAAGCTGCCCGAGATCTCCTCCACCGGCCGCGTCAGCAGCGTGCGCAGGAAGTTCTCGCCCGACACGTCGCTCCAGTTGCCGTCCTGCGCGGCGCGGCGGGGCCGGGCGGCGGCGAGGCCAACGGCGGAGGTTGGGAGCCAGGGCCAGAAGGGAAGCACGGTAGCAAGCGCCGCATGCACATGACAGGAGGCAATGCATGGCAGAATCATTCCGGCCAATTTGCATGCCGCAGCATGGCCGTGTGGCCTGCTGTGCAGCTGCACGCATGCACCCGGCCACACGCAGGATGTGGGCACCCACCTTTGGGATGTCATTCTCCTGCAGGTAGCGGTTGAGCCAGCTGTGCAGCGCCGGGTTGTCCTCCTCAACTGTGTGCGCCATCGTGCTGGCCGCCCTGCAAGCCACACCGGCGCACGGCGCTCAGTGGCGTGTGCCACTTGACAGGCTTGGGAGATGAGGTGTGGTGCGCAGGTAGGTGGCGCACGGCTGGACGGCACAACGCGCTGGGCGCCTCACCGCGTGGTCAGCAGCCCCATCAGGCGGTCGCGGTTGCCGTCCCGCAGGGGCGTGTCGTCGGGGCTGCGCATGTGGGCTGGCCGGCCTCTCCGCCTGCAGTGATCGCACGCAGGACAGAGTGCGCGAAAACGCGGTGGGGCAGCGGCAGCAGGCGGTCAGCAGGCGGCAGGCCACTTGCTAGCTGCGGGCGGCTGGCAGGCCCTGCCCGCGCCCCCGCCGCTGACCCTACCTCTGCTGGTTGTCGGTGGACACCGACTTGCCCTTGCTGCTCCGGCGGTCCTCGGTGCGCTTGCGCCAGTAATCGTTCTGGGAGCCGCGCCTATAATTGGGGTTCTTAGAGGGATCGCTTTGCGGTCCTGCCACTGTGCAGCAGCCCCGCTGCCCCACCGCTCCGCTCATCATGGGCGGGTCGTGTATGGGGACTTGCACGCGCTGCGGATGATGCGGATGACGCGGTGATGGTTTCAGGACGGCAACACAGCCTCCAAACACAGAGGGTTGGGCGGGGGCAAACATTCTACTATGAGCACAGCGCGCAGCATGGCGGCGGCCAGGCGGCAGGCAGCGCATAATTGGTAGATGACACACTGTGACAGGTGCTCGTCACCCCACTGTGCGCGATGCACATTGATTGACACATGGCAAGGGGCCAGTAAGGTGAAGAGCAGTCGGCTGTTCGCCGGGAAGTTCACAGTGGGTGCCGGCCGCCGCCTACTGCCTGCTGTTGCAACCTTGTGCCGCCCCTCCACACTCAACTCCCCTCCTCCTCCGGCACCTTGACCGTGTAATTGAGCGCCAGCCTGCCGCCGTCCACGTACACCGTCTGCCCCGTCATGTAGCTGCTGTCGCGGGAGGCCAGGAAGCGCACCACCGACGCCACCTCGCCGGGCTCGCCCACCCGCAGCAGCGGCGTGCGGGACAGCACCTTGCCCATGGCCGCCTTGTCGGTCACCACTGCGGGCAGGGCGCGGAGGGGAGTCTGTGGCGCTGGCTCTCGGCAGCGGGGCTGGACGCCTGGCAGCTGGGAGGGCAGCGCTGGGACCAGGCGGGCCGGCTGGGCGTGCTTGCCCAGCATCTGAGCCCGCCATCCAAGTCGCCTGCCCCTCCCAGCCACATGCCCTCCCTGCCCAGGCCCCTGCTGTCTGCCTCACCCGACTGCAGGACGTCTGTCATGATGGATCCAGGCCCCACGGCGTTGACCCGGATGCCGTGCGGCGCCAGCGACAGCGCCATGCACCGCGTCAGGTTGTCGACGCCGCCCTTGCTGGCGTTGTAGGCGGCGATTGTGGGGATGGCGGTGATGCCGTTCACCGAGCTCATGTTTACGATGGCTCCGCCCCGCCCCTGAGACACCATCTGCCGCGCCGCCGCCTGACCCGTCTGCGGCGGCAGCAGGAGCCCGGGCCGAGGGCAGGCGCTGCGTCGGTCGGCCTGGCACCTCCACTGCTCCCAACATGTGCGGCAGCGGTGGAGGTGTCAGGACACCCCATCCACGGGCACACGCAGCGGCCAGCCCGTCTCTGCTGGTTGGCATCCAGCTGCCAGCCAATGCAGCGACGCCACACACGAGGAGCGCGACCGTCATCGCCTCAACCACAACGCCGACGAAGGCGAACCCAGGAGGCCCCCGCCGCTCACCAGGAACGTGCCCTTCAGGTTGACCCGCAGCACCGCATCCCAGTCCTCCTCGCTCATCTCCAGGAAGTCTGCGCTGCGCACGATGCCGGCGTTGGCCACCGCAATGTCCAGCCCGCCAAAGCGGCTCACCGCCGCCGCCACCATGGCCTCAACCTGCAGCGCGGGGCGGGTGGGCTGGAGCAAAGGCGTAGCAGGAGAGCATGGCAGGGAGGTACGGTTGCGGCGGCCATGTTTGCTGCATATGCATGCGTGCATGCCACCTGGCCTGCCTGGCTGGGCTGCTTTTCAGTACATGCGCTCGCGGCAGGCCACCTGCTGCTTGTCGCCGACATCGCAGGCGCAGCTGAAAGCCTCAATCCCCTCTGCCTGCAGCTGCGTCTCCGCCTGCCCCACCGCGTCAGCGTCGATGTCCGCCACCAGCACCTTGGCCCCGGCCCGGCCCAGGGACTGCGCACAGGCGAAGCCGATGCCTGCGAGGTGGGCCAGCAAGCGAGGCGGGCGGGTGTCGGGGGCGGGTGGCGGCGGGAGCAGGCAGCAGGCGCCGGGCTGGGCAGCAACTGCACGCCCTGCTGCATTGGATTTGATCACTCCACCTCTTGCGCCTCCTGTTATTAGCGCTACTTGGTTCAGGAGGCTGGCTCCGGCAGCCATGGCGGAGATGCGTGGCCAAAATCCACTGAACTGCACGACAATGCAATTCGCAAACGCAACTGCGATCGTCACAATGCAGGAAGCTCCGCAGAAGGGTTTCGTTGCTGAGAGTGCCGCCGTGGCAGTGCCGCTGCGTGGAGCCTCCTTAGACTGGCGCAGGGGAAATCCCCTTTGTGCACCATTTACAGCAGCGGCAGCAGGCTCGCCCCGCCGGCTAACGCCGCTCGGCTTCACTTGAACACCTTTTCTCTCGTCGGAAGGCCCACAGCCTAGGCAACACAGGACGGCTGGTCGACTTGAAGCTTCAGAGGTTATCCCAGGCCGTTGGGGGGCCTCAGCACCCATAATGGAACAAACTCTCTGATCGGATTGGCGGCCTGGCAGCACAGTGGGTGCAAGTGCAGCCAGAAATGGACCCGTATGCCAGGCGGGCGCAGCAGGCGGCGGCTGCCGTGCCGCCGCCGCCTGCCGTGCCGACCCCGCTGGACGAACTGGAGGCGTCGCTGGGCCCCGCCGACCGGGCGCGCACCGAGGTTGCGCTCGAGTCGCTGGCGTCGCTGGAAAGCAGGACCCCCGACTGGAAGCATCAAACTGTAGACGAGCTGAAGCGGGACCTGGAGCAGAGGAAATCCAAGCTCAAGGAGCTCAGATTGAAGGACGGCGGGCAGAAGTTGGAGCTCAGCCACGCCCGCATGGAGCGCTACATCCGGCTGCGCGAGGAGCAGGAGCGGCAGCGGGGGCAGCAGCAGGAGGAGCAGCAGCAGCAGCAGCGGCAGCAGCAGCAGCAGCAGCACGGCACCACGTCCGACTGGCTTCAGCGGGTGAGCGGTTGTCGGGCCCCGGCCGGCTCTGGGTGCTTCTGAATCATCCCTCCCCTTGGCCTGGTCGCGCTCCAGCTGCCCTGGCATTGTTTAGAACCGACGCTTTTCTGGATGCTTGCCCGCGCCCTGCCGTGCAGGCCAGGGCAAACCAGGAGGAGGCGGAGGCGGAGATGGAGGCGACGGCAGGACGGCGGCAGGTGGTGCCTGCAGCGGCGGGGCCGCTAGGCCGCAATCGCAACTTCGGCGGCTTGAGCTACGGCCACGACGGGGAGGGCATGGCACACAGTGTGCCGCTGGTGGCCAGCGTGAGAAATGCTCGCTGCCCGCGCCGGCCTAGCATATGCCGGGTGTTGGGTGCTGTGCTGCCTGCCCAATCGAGCTGAGCTGCCGCTGGAATTCCTCCTGCTGGTGGTGGCCTCCTCACCACTGACTGCCATGCCGCTTGATGTCTGCGCAGCGTGGAGCGCCGACGCGGCCCACACCCCGGCAGGCCAAGCTGCTGACTGTCACCAGCAAGCAGAGCAAGCAGCAGCAGGCGCCGCGACCTCAGCAACAGCAGCAGCAGCGGGTGCAAGAGCCTCCCTTACCATTTGGGCAGTGCGAATACTGCCACGTACATGACCGTCCGCTGAAGGCTGTCAGGGTGGGTGCCCAGCAGTGGGTGGCTTCAGCTGAGGGGCTGCTCCTGCATCATGGCTGAGGGAAGCTGCCTCCCAGCCGAGAGCCGAACTAAGGCGCTGAGCTGTGCCTGCTTCTTGCGCCCCCGCTGGCTGCAGTGCACTAGGACCGGCGACGAAATCCAGCTTTGCTTTTCCTGTATCAACAGAAACCCGGACCTCCAGCCCATCCCCAACAGGCCGCGGCGGCAGTCCACTATTGTGCGTGGCCTGGTGCTTGCGAGATGCATGCCGTGCGCATGCCAGCGATTCCCCACTGGCTGCTGCAGCTGGGGTATGGTCACTGCGCTGCCTGCCTGGCACTGCTGCAGGAGGATGGCCTGGCTGCTCAGCAGCAGCGTGCTGCCCCCAGCCGGCCGGCAGCCAGCAAGCAGCAGCAGGGCCGCATGGGGCCCCTGAATCTGCAGCCTGTGCCGCCGGCTGCCTTCCACAGCCAGCTACCCGCAGCCCGCAACGCCTCTGTTTGGGCAGGCGCCGGTGGCGGCGGCGGCAGCGCGGCAGGTGGCAGCCGCAAGCCCAAGCGCGGCAAGGGGGCAGAGGATGAGGAATATGTGCCCGGCAGGGAGGCGGCGCAGACGCTGCACGCAGATGAGGACGACAGCGACTACGATTGGAATAGCAAGGGAGGGCGCAAGCGGCACAGGCAGCAGGGGCGGCGCAGCGGCTCGCGTGTTCGTGGCGGGCAGCAGGACGTGAGACGCCTGGCCGGCGGCCCTTGCCAGCAGGGTGGCTGTGTGCTGTCTGTAGGCTTTCTAGTCCTTTGCAGACGCTGGTGCCCGGCCTGCTGCGCTCATCTTGATCAAATCAAGATCTTGGCTCTTTTGCCGCACCAGCCCTCATCCTCCCTGCCCTGCTGCCTGGCTGCCTTGCCGCGCTGCTGCGCTGCCAGCAGGCGGAGCCGGTCTGCATCGACCTGCTGAGCGACGAGGACGGCGCAGAGCACCAGCACGGCGGCGCGGCAGGGCGCGCAGCGGCAGGGGCTGCTGCCGAGGAGGGCCCCGCCCGCCGCGCCCGTCCCGCCCGTGCCGCCGCCCCGCGCTCCTCCGCTGATCGCTTCAAGGTGAGGTGGGGTGGGGTCTGGCTGCCCTGTGTGGACGGCAGCGGCAGGAGTGGCGCCTGGCTGCTGGCCCCAGTGCGCATGCCTCTGCCGCACCTGCCCTGCCTGCCCTCTCAACTGCCCCACCACCACGCCCCCTCGTGCCGCAGGGCCTGACGTGCCTGTACCCGCCGGGCGGCGGCGCCGGTGCGGTGGAGGTGACGGCGCTGGACCTGCCCCGCCTGGACCCCGATGAGTTCCTGAACGACACAGTCATCGACTTCTACATCAGGTGTGTGTCCATGGGTGTTGCGAGTGGTGACGGTGGTGGTGATGACGGTGGTGGTGTGCTTGCGCACGGCTGGTGCGGGGGTGCAGGGGTTGTTGTTGTGAGCGTCGCTGCGACGTGCCGGGGGCGGGAGCTGAGCGGGACCAGTGTGGGGCCTGCCCCATGCCCCGCCTGCCCCGCAGGTGGCTGCAGGACCGCCTGCCGCAGGAGGTGCAGCAGCGCTGCTACTTCTTCAACACTTTCTTCTTCAAGAAGCTGACCGAGGAGCAGGGTGGGCTGGGCTGGGCTGGGTTTGGGTTGGCATGCCATAGCAACAGGAGCGCTTCCCCAGTGGGCAGGCACGTCAGCACCAGCCAGCACCCTCGCTCCATGCAGTGCTCCTGCTGTACACTAGGTGGCCACGCCTGTGTGTGTATGTGCAGGCGGCGTGCTGCCGCCGGAGGTGGAGGAGTGGGCCAAGCAGGAGGGGATCAAGGGGCCAAAGCTGCAGGCGCTGCGCAACCACCAGAAGGTCAAGAAGTGGACCAAGGTGCGCTGCCGGGCTGGCGCTGGGGACCCGTACTGTGCCGCAGCCCGACTGCAGATGGCAGCCGGCAGCGTGTGGCTGGCTGTTTCTCTGGGAGTGGTGTGCCTGCCACTCACGATGCACCATCTCACACCACGCGTGCCTGCCATCGAGCGTGCACCAGCTCACACACAGCCTGCACACTGTTGACTCTCTCTCCGGTGCCGACCCCGCGCAGGATGTGGACTTGTTTGAGAAGGACTACATCTTTGTTCCGGTCCACGAGGCGCTGCACTGGAGCCTCATGGTGGTCTGCCACCCAGGTGGGACAGCCGGCCGCTGGGCTGTCAGCGGGCACAGGCGCACGCCAAGGAGTGGCAGAGGGAACGCCAAGCTCCTGCGTAGCTGCTGCCTGCGTGCCCCGCATTTCAGGCATGCCGCCAAACGACTGCTGCGCTGCAGGGGTGGTGTCGCCGCCCGACACGGTGCAGATCCGGCCAGGGGACAAGACAGCCTGCATCCTTCACCTGGATTCTCTGTCGGGTGGGTGCGGCGCGGGCATGCACCTGCGCTTGCGCGTGCATGGACGGCCAGGGCGGTGTGTGTTGTGTTGTGGCAGGCGCTGCTCCTGTTGCTGCTGCATCGCGCTGCATGCGGGAAGGCCGCTGGAGGCTGCACCCGTGGGGCTGCCGTCCAGATGTGCGGCTGCCTGCCTGCTTGCCGGTGCAGGCAGCCACAGGAGCCTCACGATGGCCAACCGGCTGCGCCTCTACCTCCAGTTTGAGTGGCACATTAAGGTGGGGCGGGCCTGGGTGGCATACCTGTGTGCAGGTGGCGCCCTGGTGAGCAGTCCAGTGCTGCTGTACTGGGCCTGCTGCTCCCCTGCCCACCCGCGCGCCCTGCCCTGCAGTCGTTGCCCACCGCGCCCGACGGCGGCGTGCCCAAGAGGTGGGCTGAGGCGCACCCGGGCCAGACCCGCTGCTGGATGCCGACTAGCTTCCCATACAAGGCGCCCAAGGTGGGAAGGCGGTACATCGGAGCCAGGGCAGCATGCTGTGCACCCCGCAGACGCAGCGCCTGTTGAGTCTACCTTCCAGGGCTGGCAATCATGTCTGCTCCCATGCACCCGGCGGCTCCGCTCGTGGCCACCTGCTCCCCTGGTTGGCGAGCCGCCGGCTCTGGTGCTGTTCCCGTGCTGCCGCAGGTGCCCACCCAGGACAACCACTGCGACTGCGGCCTGTTTGTGTGCAGCTACATCGAGTACTTCACACATCGGCTGCCCAAAGGTGCGGCGCTGGCCCCAGGCTGCCGCCGCCCTCCTGCAGTGTTCGCCTTCGCTTGCCACCGTCTCCAGCCACCGTGCCTGACCATGCGCCTCTGCCATGCGCTGAGCTGTGTGTATCTGTGCCGCCGCCACTCTGGCTCCTCCCCCCGTGCTGCAGCCATCTGCTGGCCAGATATTGACACGCTGAAGGGCTACGCCAAGACCAACCGTGACCTGTTTGATGGCACCCCCGACTGCGTTCCGGGTGGGTGGGTGGCTGGATGGCTGGGTGGGAGGGAGCTGAGCTGGGGTTCATTCACCCATCACCAGAAGCAGTGGCGCAGCCCTGACCCAAGCAGAGCAGGGCAGGACAAGGTTCTTGCCCCTGATCACGTGCGCGTCTTCCAAGCGGTGGAGCTCCTGCCGCCCGTGCAGGCCTGCTGACGCAGAAGTGGTTCCCCAGCGGCAACCCCTCGCACCTGCGCTACCAGATCCGCACCCTGATCCTGGAGCTCATGGCGGTGCGAGGCGCTGCTGGCCCGCTCCGCTGCGCTGAGCGGCGCCCGAGGCCGTTGCAGGCCTCCCTCTGCCCTTGGTCTGGATGCTGCCGTTGGCCACTGTACCGTGAGGCCAGCCTGCTCGCCAAACCCCTGAGGCTTGTGTGGTTTCTGCTGCCGCTGCCTGCAGGAGCGGTGCGGGCTGTGGGACCGCGCCACCGGGGGGTGGAAGGACGGGGACGAGATGGCGGAGGAGGTGAAGCGGGAGCTTCTGGAGCTGGAGCACAAGGCGGCTCAGGTGTGGCGCTGCTGCTGCCGACCCGTTCTCCCTCCTCTCCCCAACATCCTCCTGGCATGCAAGGCCTTTCGTTGGTGTGTGGTGCGCCGGTGTGCAGCACAGCCGGTGGCTGGCATGTGCTGTGCCAACTAAAAGGGCCTCATCACTGCTTCTCTGCCCCGACGTGCAGTATATTCTGCCCGACAGCGGGGCAGCGGCCGCGGTTGTAGAGAAGCAGGAGCGGCAGGAGGCGCTGGAGCGAAGGCAGCTGGAGCAGGCGGCACGGGAGGAGGACAGGAAGGCGCAGCGCCCGCAGCGGCAGGAGGGAGCTGCCAAGGGCCCGGCGGTACGTGTGTCGCTTCAGCCAGACGGCACATGCCGCGAGGGCGCGCGGTGTAGTGCACGCCCAGTGCGCGGAGCTGGGTGCTCGGCCTTGCTCTTAGCGCATGCCCTGGGCCTGGCTCTGCAGGCACCTGGCAGCCGAGCAGACCGAGAGATACAGGCTGCGGCGGCCGAGGCGCGCCTGCGCCGCCTGCGCCAGAACGTGCCTGAACGCGCTCCTGAACGCGACGCGGGCATGGCTAGGCATTTGTTCGACGGCATCTTGGTGAGGCCGCAGCCAAGCATGCTGCGCGCTTGCAGTTTGGTGCCATGCATCACCCCGCCAAGACAGCATGCGTCTGCCTGCCTGACTCTGCTTGGGGCATGGGGTGTGTCGCTACTCGCAGGATGTGGCTGCGCAGCGGGACAGCACTGAAGAGGAGGAGTCCTTTGAGCAGCTGCCCGACAAGCCTCGGCAGCGCCTGCAGCAGCGGCCTCGGCAGCAGTTCAGCCCTGGCCCTCAGCAGCAGCAGAAGCTGGATGATTGGGCGGATGAGGATGAGGGCGGGCAGGTATGCGACTGCCCTTTCCACCCACCATGCTACCGCTTGCAGATTTAGCTGAAGGTCCAGAAGGTCTGGCAGGCATCCTCTGTGTTGGCTGTGGCAATCTCTCACCTTCTGCCTTGCCTGCTGCTGCCCCTGGCGTGCACGCTGGCGGCGGTGCCCATTGCAGGGTGGCAGCATGCCGGACTTTGATCCCGGCTTTGCTGTCGACCTCAGCGATGGCAATGCGGAGGAGCCGGAGGAGCCGCAGGGAGCAGCAGCAGCGGCGGCAGGCAGCCAAGATGATTGCCGCCGGTCAGCCTCACCCGAGCTCTGCCCCGTGCCACAGCCCAGCCCTGCGTCGGCAAGCGGCCTCCCAGGTGCGGCAGCGGAGGGGGCGCCACCATCTCCAGCTGCCTGGCGCACCAGGCGTGGCCTGCATTGCCAGGTGTCTGGTTCTTGAGCTGGCTCTCAGTTGCGGTGTGCTGCTGCTATGCAGGCATGAGTGGCAGCGCCCTGCCCAGCCGAGGTGCAGGCCAGCTCAAGTCACTGTCGCGGCGGAAGCGGAGGCAGGTTCTGGATGACGAGCAGGACGATGACAGCACCCAGCCTGCTGTCCCTGCCTATGGCGCAGCGCAGCAGCAGCAGCAGCAGCAGCTGCAGCAGCAGGCACGATTTCTAGCGGGGTCGCCGTCACTCGGGGGCGGTGCGGACGCCAGCAGCAAGGAAGACGAGGACAGCGAGGTGGGATGCTGCCACCCCTGTGGTGCCCTGACGCACGCTGCTGCGCGCAGTGCTTGCACCCTCCGACTCTTTGCCCTGGGCTGGTCTGCCGCAGCTGGACATCGTTGGCGACGACGGCGCTGCTGCCAAGCCTTGGCCGCAGCTGGAGCAGCCCGTGGCGGAGCACCCGAGCAGGCGAGGCCCTGCTGGCATGCTTCACCTACTCTGCGGTCCTGCGTCTGCCGGCTGCCAGTCTGCCCTGTCGCCACCCTGTCGCCACCTGGTACAGATGCTGCACGTTGTCCCTGTTTGTGATGAGCAGGCGGTATTGCTGTTTGAGGGTTGCGTGTCGCTGCGGTTGCAGGGCGCACGCCAACGATGCGCGCCAGGACGACAGCTGGGAGGAAGCCGGGCCAGGCAGCGGCAGCAAGCGGGCCAGAGTGGCGGCGGCTGCAGCGCAGCCGCTACCCCCGCCCCCACAGCAGCAGCCGGGCGACACTGGGCAGGGAAACGGGAGAGCCACCGCCGCACAAAGCGGAAGAAGAAAAAGAAGCGGCGCAGGGGCAGCAGGCAGTGAGGCAGCTGCTGCGCCCGCGGCGGTGGCCAGTCCCAGCTCCCCTCAGCACCAGCACCAGCACCAGCACCAGCACCAGCAGGAGGCCGTGGCAGATGAGGATGGCGGCGGCGAGGATGAAGTGCTCGACATCGACGGCAGCAGCATCCCAGCCGAGCAGCCAGCCAGCCAGCAGCCGGCGGCTGCTGCTGCGGCGGCGGCGCCTCATGTGCAGCAGGATGGCGAGGCGGGGCAGGATGCTGCTGCCGCTGTCCCTGCCTCCTCGCCAGTGGCAGGCCCCGTGGGGCCACCCGTCCACGCCTCGGCATCGGGCTGCGGCCTGGTGGCGCAGCAGATGGAGCACCTGCACCTGCAACCCAGCGACGCCTCCCGGCCTCCCGCCCAGGCCGCCGCTGCCCGGCTCCAGCAGCAGCTGGAGCAGCAGCGCATGCAGCAGGCGGCGGCGGCAGGGGCTGCTGCTGCAGAGGAGGTGCACGATCTCACAATTGAGGATGCCCCGCCAAGGCAGGAGCCGCCGCCGGCAGCGCCAGCCGCGGTGCTAGCACCACAGCCGCAGCAGGAGCTGCAGGCAGAGCAGGCGTGTGGCGGCAGAGGCGCCGCCGCAGCGGCGGTGGGCTCTGGCGGCAGCGGCGAGCGCACTCTGGCAGCCAAGGCGCAGGGCCAGCAGCAGGCGCAGCAGCAAGTGCAGCAGCAGGCGAAGCGCAAGCGCAAGTCCGCCGGCCCTTTGCGGATTTCAGAGGCGGCGCAAACGGTTGGCGGCGACCAGCCGCAGACCTGGAACCCGCATCTGTTGGTCGGCGGCAGCCAGGAGGCGGGCGCGGGCCCCATTCAAGGCCCGGCGCCGCAGGCTGTCCCCATGCGGCAGATCGTGTGGGGGCAAACCCCGGCTCCTGAGAAGGGCACGGGCTCCACAGCCCTGAAGCTGTTCCACCATCCCCACGGTCCCCAGGCGCCTGGGTCTGCAGTTGCGGGCGGCCACCTGGGTCAGCTGGGGCAGCCCCAGGAGTTCCACCAGCGCTACTCCGTGGCAGCGCAGCGGCAGCAGCAGCAGCGGGCGCAGGGCGCGCAGGGCAGCAGCCCGCGAATGGCGCCGGCCTCGGGCGACCCGCGCCTGGCGGCTGCCGCCGCGGTGGAAGCGGAGGCCGCCGTGTATGCCGCGCTGCCGGCAGCTGAGCGCAAGCTGCAGCAGCAGCAGCAGCTGGCGAGCAAGGCTGGGGGCGGCCACGCCACCAGCCCCCTGCACCCGGACCAAGTGTCGCAAATGCTGCAGCATGTGAATGCATATAACCGCAGCCTGCCGCACCACCACCAGGCTCCCGCCTCCATCGATGGTGCACAGGTCAAGCACTTAACCTCAGCCTTTGTCAAGCAGGCCCAGCGTCTCAAGCAGCACCGGCGGGCAGCAAAGCACGGCAGGCCGGTGCGGCCGCGCAGCGCGCCGGCGGCCCCGCCGCAGCATCAGCAGCTGGATGCAGCGGTGGACCTTACTGGCTTGGATGACGACTGAAGGCGGCTGGCAGCCCAGCTCAGGAGTGTTAGGAGCAGCATCTCGGCTAGAGCTGCTAGAGCTCGAGCGCCCAACTGCGGGCCTGGCGGCGGCATCGTTCGGGTGGCAGCCCACCTTTGTCCAGCCTATTTTCTAGCTTAGTTTCATTACAACATGTTACCCCTTTCACATCCCTGCTCTGTGATCAATAAACAGCAAGCTCCCAAACTCTTGGCGGGTAGGCTGGGGAACTGATTGCAATGATTGATTGCAAGCCCTGGTGCCAGGCAGCTGCCAGGGAGGGAAGAAGACGCCGACGCTATCAATGGCGGCTGCATGCAAATCAACGCTGAGCAGGCACAGAAATCACGGGGCGAGACCTATGTACGTACAAGCAGCGGCAGGCTGCGCAGAGGGCGGGTCACATCAAGAGAGGGCCTCTTCAAGGAGAACCCGCGCCAGCCACAAGTGCCTGGTTGACTGGTGGCACCTAGTGGTTGAGCACGGAGGCGGCAAAGCCGCGGGAGATGACGACCCTCTCCAGCGGCGAGTGCGCCACCACACCCGGGGCGGCGCTCTCCTGCTTCTTGGCCTCCTCGGCGGCCGCCATGGTCATCATGCCCACGCCGCTTCCCACGGCGACGCCCGCGCCCATCAGCCCCACCAGCGCGATGATGGAGAGACTGACACTAACCTCCTGAGACAGCACCATGGCGGCGGTGGAGGGGAGTGGGAAAACCTGCAGGCGGCAGAGAGGAGCGGGTGCAGTGGGCGGGCACCTGGGGTGACTCCTGGGGGGAGAACAGCGACAGTCCTGCTGCACGCAGCTCCCCAGCGCTCCTCGCTCGAGTGGTGAGCGACAAGAGGCCACAGCGCAAGGTCGCCAACGGAGAAGCCATGCGGGCACCGCAGGCGGGGGCATGGCAGCCGCACCCGAGCGGGAGGCTTCTGCGAGGCTTCACGGACTGAGAGGGGACTCTAAGGTGAGGCCGGGGAGGGTCTGCAAGCAAGCGCGGAGCGAAGCGAACCCTTTCAGACCCGCACAGGCACGCTCTGCTCCCTGAAGGTTGACAGATTCTCAGAAAAGACATCGCCAAGAGCCAAGCAGGGCCCTGGGTGCAGCCAAAGGCAGTTGTCAACCCCGGCCAAGTCAAACCCTGCTCGCCTGTCGCTGGGGCTGGCCACTAGAGCTCAGGCAGAGGCCGATGGGAGATGAATATAGAGCGCCCGCGGCTGTCGCTCTGCAGAGGTCTGCGCCGGTGCTGGCGTGGCGGCACAGCGCAGCGGGCAACATCCTGCCGCGGTCTCCGGGGCCATTACACAGTGTGCAGGAAAACTGGAGGAAGGGACGCAGTGACTGTAGTGTTCGGCAGCCATAAGCCCGGGGAATGCTGAGCGAGGGACGGGATGCAGGCAGAAGCGGCGCCGGCGAGAGGGCGGAGCACGCCCCCGCCTTAGCCGATGACGAACACTCTGGGGGGTGGGCGCCTGGGGGGCGGACGTTTCACCGGGGGAGGCCGCTTGGGCGGCGGCCGCCGTGGAGGCGGCCGGCGCTTGACGGGAGGCGGCGGCCTGCGGAGCGGGAGGGGCGGGCACGGGGTGAGTCGGCAACCCAGCAGGCACAGCTGGCAGCTTCCCCTTCCGCTGCTGCATGCCACACGCGTGCGCACCGTCTGGGCGGCGGCCGCCTGGGAGGCGGGCGCTTGGGCGGAGGCCGGCGCTTGACTGGAGGCGGGGGGCGCCTGCAGGGGAGGGAGGCGCCAGCAGCACAGCCAGGCGGCAAGGTCGGCGGCCCGGCCGGCGCGTGGCAGCAGGCAGAGCGGCGGGTGAAGCAGGGCGCGTGGGCCGCGCACACACGCAAGCGGAAAGAATGCGCACCTGGGTGGCGGGCGCTTGGGGGGAGGCCGCCGTGGCGGGGGCGGGCGCCTGCGGGGGCAGCAGCAGAGGTGCGGGCGGGCGGTGAGCAGCCAGAGCAGCCAGAGCGGCCAGCCGCTGCATGTGAGCAGGCAGGGGGGCACGCAGGCGTGGCGCCCGTGGGCGGCCCAGCAGGCAGCGCACTTGGCTGGTGGGGGCCTCTTGGGAGGAGGGCGCCGAGGAGGTGGGGGCCGCTTCCTGCACGCAAGCAAACGCAGCGGGACGGTGTGTGCAAGCCGCCAGCCGGCAGCGGCAGCGGCAGCGGGGGAAGTGAGGCGCCAAGCTGAGGACCCTGCGCTGCGGCAGCTACGCACCCTGGCGGCGGCCGCTTGGGCGGCGGGCGGCGTGGAGGCGGCGGGCGGCGTGGAGGCGGGGGCCGCCTGCGAGGCAGCAGGGGGGGCAGGGGTGAGCCGGGTGAAGGCACAGGCGGCTGGCTGATCTGCCTGCGGCTGGCGTGTGCGATCCGCACTGTGTTTGACCCAACCCAGCAGGCCAGCACATGCCAGGCAGCAAGTC